AGAGCACTAGACTGACAAATTTCTTCTGCTCCTAAATGGAAGTTGGGGAAAAGTACTGACGAGAGTGTGGCTTCATAATCTGCTTTAGTGGAATTTATGAGATTGATTACCTTTGCTCAAGTCCTAGATAATACTCAAAGGCTGTGCTTATGGAGAAAAATCACCATGTAATCAATTTAAAGTTCTAGGCTCTCAGCGGGGATCCTGTTTAGGGATATGTCTGTGATGGTGTGTGAAGTAATAAAGGCACAACACACAGGATGAGTTTAAGCAGGGGCATTGTACACAGGCTGAGGTGTGATTGGTTGACTTAGTGCTAATGGGTGATAGAAAGATATATAACTTGATTACTAAATGAATCTACTTTTTCATAGAATTTTTCCTAATATGGAGCTGATAGCAGAAGCTGGGTTGTTTTGATTCAGGGGTATAGAAACTTAAAAAGAAACTTTGTTTCCCCATCTTACAAAAGAAAAACTTGTTTATTATAAAAACTTTAAAAACACTAACTAAAAGAAAAATTTAGAAATCACCTACCATCCCACTCTCTAGAATCACTATAAACAGGTTGACTTATATACTTCCTTTATTTTTCCTATGCCCAAATACAAATTTTTATTAAAAATGGGTTCATATTGTACCTACTATTTTGGAAACTACTTTTCACTTAACTATTTTCCCTGTTACCGCTCCATGTCAGTAGTACAATATCCTTTTTTTGGTAAATTAGTTCTTTAATGTAAAACCAACAGATGCTCTTGTTGAAAATTTCAGAGTATAAGATAAAATGTAAAAGTATTTCCCCTCATCTCTTACCTCTTAGTCTGATTCCCTTGAGGTAACCCTAACACTCTTCTCTTAATATTTCTCTCCAGAAGTTTTCTGTGCCCACACACACACACACACACACACACACACACACAATGTCTCACAAGGTATTCAATCATGTCCTATTATGTGGAAATCTAGGGCTTTTCCATGTTTTCAGTGCAGTGAATATCCTTGTAGTTAAATCTTTGCACACATGATTATTTCCCTAAGATAAATTCCTTTTATCTTAATTTACCTTAAAATAAATTTCCTTAAGTTAAAGAAAACAATTTGTTAGATTTTACATATGCACAGTTTTAACACTTTTGGTGTGTGCAGCCCGTTAGCCCTTTACCTGGTTTGTGTCAATTTCACACTCACAGGGAAGCAACATTAAATTTTTTAAAATTTTAAAAGGCAACATTGAATTTTTAAAACTTACACATTTTTTATTTATTTTATTTTTAAAAAACTTTTAGAAAGTATAATGCATATAGAAAAGTGTAAGTGGTGAGTTATGGTAGTCACTAACCACCTGTGGCTGGCCACTAGCACTTGAGATGTGGCTAGTCTAAACTGAGTGTGCTGGAAGTATAAAATATACACATCAGTTTCAAAGAATGGGTACAAAAATATAATATAAAGTATCTCATTAATAATTTATGTTAATCATATATTGAAATGACATTTTTAATATGTTAAATAAATAATATTATTAAAATTAATTTTACTTGTCTTTTTTCACTTCTTAGATGTTGCTACTAGAAAAAATTTAATTACATATGTGACTTGTATTATATTTCTCTGGGACAGCACGAAGTAAAACATGGTATGACTCCTTATATAATAAAACCTACCACCTGTACACTCTTAAATTTGCTCTCTTCCTCTTCTGCTCCCCTACCTGCCTGTGCCTCAGTTATACCCGGGGCTCTTAGAACTAAGGTAGCTCCATTCGCCACTCCGACTCTTTGTCAGAAATGATCAGTAAACTTGTGGTGAATGTCCACTTTTGAAAGTCATGCGGTTGTGTATTAAGACTGTGACCTATCAGAACCCACCATTAAGTATGAACTCTTAAGTTGCGAATTGAATCATTTGTTAATCGATTTGTTAGAATATGTAAGCCTATCGGTTTCAGGAATTGCTGCTGAGTTCAACATCATGGCCACTATCCAGATGTGCACACAGGCTGTGAACAGGCAGAATTCACATACTTGAGGGTCAGCTCATTGATGGAAGTTCACAATCTCTTTGGGCCTCACTTTTTTTTTTTCCTTGTGAAGGGGCGGGGCGGGGGGGGGCGCGGGGGTGTGGGCGCTGAGGGAATGGTGCACAGTTTCAGACAATAGTAATCAACATATGTAAACAACAGGAGCTAGAGAGATTACTAGGATATTACTGGGGCTATGGCAGGCTGTTTCCTCTCACTCTCCACCTCCTGAAGTTTGCTTAGCCGTCTCTCCCTCCTCATCAGCCCTCAGCTCTCCCTTCTGCACATAGTGCCTATGCCAGGCACACTCTAGGCACGCGCAGCTTTCCATCTAACGCAAATGCTGTTCGCAGATCAACTCCCACTCCCAGTGACTCCAGGATAGAAGCAAAATGCAGATGAGATGCAAGAAAAAGGCCCCTGCATGAGCATCTGAGTCTTGTTCTCTCTCTGCCCCATTGTTGGCTTAAATCTTGTTCTTTGAGTCACTTTTTCACTGGACTCAGCTTTAGAGTTAAAAACAAAACAACAAAGGATTAAAAAAACATATCTTAAGAGTATTTTTGGCTTGAATTTGTGCTCAGTTGTTTGGGATGTGGCTAAACCCCTTGCTTCTTCCCGTGGTTTCAGTCAAAGTGGCTTCTTTCAGGAAGGTATCCAGGTAAGAGAAATTAAAATAAATAAATCTCTCTGTTCCAACTTGTCTTCATTATCATTCTTTTGTTGTGTTGTTATGCTTAATTATGTGGGAATGTTTCTAGCTCTTTGGAACTCACCATTTAGAGTTATAAAATTGCACTGTGATAAATTAAAGGCTCAATATAACTTTTTAACAAGAAAAATGAGAATTTTTTTAAACACTCCCACCTCCTCACCACCAAATTTGGAGAATAAGGGAACTAGTTCATTGAAAGGAATGTGAACTAAGGAGTAAAAGAGCACGATTTTGTTCCATTACTGTTTGTACCTAGTAGATGAACTTGTGTAGATACTTTCTAAGCCTTAATTTTGCCATCTGTGAACTGGGAAGAGATTGTTCCGCTTTCTTCCTGTGTTCAGATGAGCATTGCAATAAAAGCAATAAACTAATGCAAAAGGAGTAAATTATTCTGGGTTCTTGTGATCTTGACTGACTTTTAAAATTCCTTTCCAACTATGCATTCTGAGATTATAAATAAGAAATGCATTCACTTTTTCCAGCCCACTGTGTTTAAATACATGTAAAATCCAAAGACCTCTTTCTTATCACAGTAAACCAGGCTATGATTTTTGCCTTAAACAAACTGCTAAACACCCATTTTCTCTTTTTATATTTAAGCTGAGCATATATTTTTTAAGGTCTTTCTATCTCTCCTCTCTCTGACCCATTACCCAAAGGTTAAGCAAACTTAAAAGTTTTCAGCCTGACTGATGTGGCTCAGTGGGTTGGGCATTGTTCTGAAATGCAAAAGGCCACAGATTCAATTCCTAGTCAGGGCATATGCCTGGATTACGGACTAGGTCCCTCGTTGGGGGCTTGGGAGAGGCAGCTGATCGATGTTTGTCTCACGCATCAGTGTTTCTCTCCCTCTACTCTTCTCTCCCTTTCCCCTCTCTGTAAATAAATAAACTCCTTTTAAAAAATTTTAAGTTTTCAGTGGTGTTATAGGATATACAAGGTTGAGTAATCTTTTAGTAGCACTGGGTACACTAGAGAAACCAAAACTCAATGAACCCATTTTGATTAAAAGAATTGTTGGAACTTTGAGAATAAAATAGTTCCCTTTCTTCTCATCAGCAGGATGAAGCCAATACCTGAAATAGCAGATTCTTAATAAAAACTAAGTACTTAATTAAGTACTTAGAAAAACTAAGTAAAAACTAAGTACAACTAAGTACTGAATAGTATAGTATCAAACATTGTTACCACTTTTTTCAAGAAAGGCTTTATATACTTTATAAAGGTATTTTTATTTTCAGGTTAATTTTTCTGTCAAAAGCAGTACTTCCGACGTAATTTGCCTTCTCAAAGTGTTAGAAACAAAACTGAATGCAAATTGGAGGTCTCTAGATTTCACTGGCCATTGGCAATAGATAAGGTTTCATTAATTATACCAGCCTAAATGCAGTTGGTCTGTCTCCTGGTGGCTCAAACAGGGCCTCCAGCCCCCTGACACCCTCCCATATCTCCCATTACAAGAGGGTCAACAGGATGTGCCCCCTATGTGTGCCTGAGCCTCACCCTTTCTATGAGTTTGGCAGAATCTGCTGGATTCTGATGATTCTCCTTCCTAGAGCAGCAGAGCCTCTCTTGGTATCTAGCAAGTGTTGCCTGCTCCTTGGGTATTACTGCTTCTTCACCTGGTGGATATGGCTAAATACACCAGATTTGTCAAGGAACCAAAGTCACCTCCTCTCCCTTTCTGTGGCACAGTGTTACAGCAGTCCTCAAACACTGTTATTTGTGCCTTGGTATTTGACAGAGATTTGGTGAAGTAGCTCTTTCAGTTTTTCCTTACTGGCTTCCTGGTCTCCATTAAGCTGAGCATCAAGGCTGTTACTAGTGTGGGTTCGAGGGCAGAGAGGTCCAGGCCAAGAACCAACACCTTTTCGTACTCAAGGTTGCCCTCTCCTCTGACAAGGAAGACTTCATCCTGACATTGGATCTCTCTTTTCTTGATATGAATGATCTCACAGAAGACTTCAACAGCCTCCACCAGAACTTTCTTTCAGGTTTCCCCCTCAGTTCACTCAACAAGACTGAACCTTCTGCGGTGGACACATCCTAAACACAAGCTAAGATCCCTACTAAGTAAGGATTTACTCTTGTTTTTATGAAAACCTCCCCAGACCAACCCGAGGGATTGACCTTGAGGTTGAGGATGGGAGCAAGGTGTCAGTGGTAAGGATGGTGGGGGGGTGGGGCGAAGGGAGGTTGACATGCTTTCAAGAAAGTGCCAGGGTGCTTTGTCTCTTAGAGTCTGCGTTCTCTCTGCAGAACGACATCTTTGAGTGGTCCAGGGACCACCGAGTCCACCACAAGTACTCAGAGACTGATGCTGACCCCCACAATGCCCGCCGGGGCTTCTTCTTCTCTCACATCGGGTGGCTGTTTGTTCGGAAGCATCGAGATGTCATCGAGAAGGGGAGAAAGCTAGACGTCACTGACCTGCTGGCTGATCCTGTGGTCCGGTTCCAGAGAAAGTAAGTGAGCAGACACCATAGAGCTGTCCCTCAGAGGACAGGTCCAAGAGACACAGAGCACAATGGACACAATTATATCCCCAAGTAGTTATCCTCATGGCACTTTCTCTGATGATTCGGTCTTCTTGCTAGGATATCTCTCGGTTTATTCATTTCCTTTTCCTCATTAAGTTTTCCCTGCTCACACATTTGTTTTTAATTTTAATTTGAAATGGATTTCCTTTACCCCCAGTGCCATTTCCTTCAGAACAATCTGCTTAGCTCATTTCACGGAATCTGTTTCTGTAGCTCCCTACTCCCCCATTCATGTTTCCCTGAGGTGGCAGGCAAGGAAAGGAAGATGCCATATTTTAGAGATACACCTGACTCCAACAGGACTGGACTGTCTTCGGGTACCCTTCTCTGTTCTCCTAGAATTATCTTGTAGTGAAGCCTCCCCTCCCCTCTTTTCTAGAAATGTTACACCAGTAGGTTTCTGTACAGAGAGAATGTGACCGTGGAATAGAGAGGCTCAAAGTGCTGTGTGCACTAATGGTGTCAGCAGGGCATATTCAGTCGTTTGCTGGGTCAATCTACTTTAAAAAAGCACATGGAGAAAGATTGCCTACAGTTGTGCTGGCAAGTAGACAGCAACCGTTATTCACCTTTTAACTAGGATGCTGGCATGGACTGTATCCATGTTGGTCTGGGTCTGTGAAGTTGGTCACCATGAGAGCATTTATAAGTGGGCTTTCTGCCCCAAAGCAATGGATTCATGTTTTGTATTCAAAGCTGAGCACATTGTCCCAAAGAGGGACAATTTATAGATTGCCCTTTGGTTAGAGCCTTGAGATAATATGGTGAACAAGTGGCTACTAGAGACCATGTTCACTGACAAGCAGGAGTCGTTTGAAGACTTGTCTGAATAGAATTGCCTAAAAATGGAAGTGGAGGCTGTATGTTTGTCTGACACAAAAGACTTTTCTTTTTTTAAAATTGATCTTGTGGGGAGAGGAGGGTGAGAGAGAGAGAGAGAGAGAGAGAGAGAGAGAAATCGAGAGAGAGACCGAAACACTGTTTTGTTAATCCACTTATCTGTTGGTTCCTTTTTGTATGTGCCCTGACCAGGGATTGAACCCACAACTGCAGTTGCATATTGGGACAATTCTCTAACCAACTGAGCTACTTGGCCAGGGCTAGAGATTCAGCCCTGCATAAAAGGAAAGGGTAGCTTAGAAATATGATCAATTTACCTTCAGCCTTTGTTTTTAGATAGGAGAGGGCAGTAGAGCAGAGTGAGAAGATGGTGAACTATGGACACAGACTGCCCAGGATTAAACTCTGTGGCTCCTCCTCCTACTAGCAAAAGAACTGACCTATCTAAGGCTCTGTTTCAGCTATAAAAAGGTAGTAACACTAATACCTAACTCCTTCTGTGTTTATAAGGACACAAAAAGGAAGTGTATGCGAACTGCCTGGCACATAATGAGAGCTAAGACCAGTGATAACTATGACACGGGTAGTTGCTACTCCAGAGGACTCCATGCATTTCCATCCCCCATTTTGATTGCACCACAGGGTCTTCTCTCTGCTCCTCAGTCCAGCTCTTTCAAGTGGACACACCTGGTGTCAATAGCCAAAAGTTTTATAACAGAAAATAACAAGATGTTTTCAATTAACAGTTACATGATTTGTTGATTTTGGTTTTCACCATGAAAAAATCTGAAAAATTCAGAAATGTAGAAAGAAAATCATCCACAATCCTAATACATATACACAGCCATTATTAATATTCTGTAGTATATCTTCCTATATTTTATGCATCTATATGATACATTTTATGTGACATCAGTCATACCGCGTATATAATTTATGTCTCACCATTTAACTTCAGAGTATATTGTAGGCACATTGTCAAAAGCTGTACAAGTTCACTGGTAGAGTGTCATAGTTTATTTAACCATCACTCTGACTGGATATGTATGTCATTTCCAATTTTGTAATATAAATGATGTTGCTATACAATTTAGTAATGCTTTGGGATAATCTGACCTTAGATTAATTTGAAGAGCTCAGATAAGAAGACAAAGGATCTCCCATTTTATTAATGAGAACTGAGCTGAGAATAATAGTCTGGGATTCTCTGACCATAAAAATGGAAGGGTTTTTTTTTTCATTTTTTCCCTGAAAAAAATGTGGTACTGTAATCTTATTCATTAGGTTTATACTCATGGTACATATGTCCAAAGACTATTTCTAAATTCAGACAGAAGAGCAAAGGCTATTTCAGCATGCTCCCTGAATAGTTATCTGAGAATATCTTCCATCACCAGTCTAGTCACCAAAGGAGGTGGTAACTATCAGAAACAAGCCACTCATATCATCATTTCATATATGTCATTTAGCTCCTGCTAAGATCAGTGCTGAGGATACATCTTTAAATAGGGTGGTCCAGGCCACACAGCAGTCTGGGAAGGGTAAGCAAAGGCCTATGGAATGAACTAGCTTCTAAGCTAAGACCTGAAAGATGAGGAGAAGTTAGATGAGGATGGGAGAAAGGATATTTAATGTTTTTCATCTCAAAGAACTGTATAGAGCCATTGAACTTAAGAGCTAGTAGGGACCTTACAAATTAGTTTTCCCATAGGGAAACTAATAAACAAAATGTAGATAGAAAGTTGGAAACGTAAGTACTGTCCTCATCTCTTTGGGCTGCTATAACAAAAATACCATAGACTGGTTGGCTTAGATAACAAACCTTTATTTCTCACAGTTCCAGAGGCTGGGAAGTCCAAGGTCAATGTATCATTAGATTTGGTGTCTGGTGAGAGCTCTCTTCCTGGTTCATAGGCAGTTGTCTTCTCATTGTGTTCTCACCTGACAGAAGGAGAAAGGGAGCCCTCTGGTGTCTCTTTTTTCTCATTGCTCCCCTGGGGATTCATTTATAAGGGCACTAATCCCATTCAGGATGGCTTTACCCTCATGATCCAATCACCTCCTAATGACCCCACCTCTTAATACCATTGGGATCAGATTTCAATATATGAATGTTGAGGGGACACAAGCATTTGTAGCAAGGTTATTTGCTCAACGGTCTTTTAATTATATCTGGCTGTTTGAAAGGCCAGTTCTCTGAAGTGTGGGTGAGCTTCATGTCCTTTGGTAATTATTCAGCCTAGAGAACATAGAGATCCATGATCTAAATAAGACGGAGAATCATTGAACTAAAGGAAAGGCACTTCTAGGTGATGGGAGGTATACTGACTCACAAAATCCCCCCAGGTTGCTGCAGATGAAGGAAATAAAATGTCTTCCCAGACACTCTCAGTCTGCCAGGAAAAGGGAGTGGTGATTCCCTCTAGTAGAGAATGCCCTGAGCCCTTCTCTTGAAGTGGCTTTTATTGAGAACGATATGTGCAGGGGTATACAGCATGCATGCAAGGCTCATCAATCAATGTCAAAAGCCTATGATTGAAGGAACTCAGAGATTTGCCTCTAGTCATGGTCTCGTAGACAGGGTGGCACCCATTTGGCCCTGAAACCTGGGAAACTGATCATATCCTATGCTCAGACTCCAAACATCGGTGCTCATTAACTCAAGGGCATTCTTAGCAAAGTAAGTTTCATAGGATTTAATGCATTCCTTTGCCAGGCCTAATTGTCCCTGGGAGCCGCCTGATCCCATTTAGGGATGTACCTGCCTTTAGTATCATCTCACTGACCCGGTCAGGCAGCTGGGCAGAGCAGCCAAGAGATACAGAGACTTCTTTCAGATAGAATGAGAACTCCAGCCATGACAAAGCCGAGGAATAAGGGTCTTTTGCCCCTTCTCTGTGTCCCCCAAGTCCTTCCCTGATGGCCCCTATGTGACTGTGCCTGTCTTACGTTGCCCCTGCCATCAAGGGGTCTAACCCATCATTGACTAACCAGCCATCCTCCGGGGCCAAGCAGGGTGATGTGAGGGAGGCAGGGGCTGCACCCCTGCCAGAGGGGCAGGTTTTGTCTCCTCAGTGGCCTGTTTTCCCAAGGCCTCCTTGCTCAGCTCCAGCCTTGGGGCCCTCTCGCCTGTTGGCGGGATGATTCCCAACATCTAGGATACACAGAGAGAGTACAGTGGTTTGGGCATTTTCTTGTTCATGATGCCAGCTTTACTGGTTCTGCCAGTCAGGCCATGGGGAGGAGACAGCTTCCTCAAGGAATGAGTCCTTGTGCTTCAGGGTGTGAGCCAGAGGTTGGATGCCATTATCAGTGGAACTGCCACACCAAGTCTCAGTCTTTGCTACCATAGGCTGAGTTGGAGCCTTCACAAGAAGCAGAGAAAGGTGCCCAGTTTTTTCAGGGCCCAGTCCTGGGTCATTTCAGTGGCACATCTTACAGAGTTCCCAGCTGCTCCCATATGGATCTCTGAGGGCAACAGTCCCTGTTCCAGTGTTGGTAGCCAGGGTTTGCAACTGATTCCACTGCCCTCCTGGGTGCAGTGTTTGTGCAAACAGATCCAGCTAAGTGCCACATGGATAGTTTCCTCAAATAAGGAAATGTGTAAGTGACAGAGACCAAAGATTTAGAGACTCCTCCTTCATTCAGTACACTCGCATTAATATTGCAGTTGATCAGTAACTTGTGCTTAGCCATGCTAATGACACCTCCCCAAAGAAAGTCTTGCCAGAGAGCGAGGCTTGATCAACTTTTCTTTATACAGTCTCATGAAGAGAGAAGATAATGGTGTTAAGGATAAAAGGAAAGTGATGCAGCTCAAGCTATAGTTCCAGGCTTTTTCTCCAAAAGATAATTTTACCAAGTAGTTAACTGGACTACTTCAAGTTTTGCTCTACTATCAAGCTGTGAATGACGCAAAGACAGGGATTAGGCATTGAGAAAGAGAGGAGCTAGTGGTATCACATCTAGATCCTGGCAACTTGAACTCCTGCCCTAGATCGTGTGCCTTGAAGGGCCTTGCTTTCCCTCCCAGGGTGGGTCTCCACCTCTGATCTTGGCCTGGCCCCCAATGTTGGGGGTGAGCC